GCGAATTAGTGTATTCAAAGTTACAACTGAAGAAAATGCACACCCACCTGCATGCTTGAGAGAGTTATGATGACCCGTTTCAAATAGGGTATTTTGCTGCACGTACCCCAGTTTATCGATACCCTTACCGTTGTTCCTACTAAAAACCTCTCTTCTCATCCCGGCATTGACTTGTGGGTTTGTGGCACTATTGCATGAAGTAGATTCGGTTCAAGTAGATCCCCTATCTTCCGATTTGGGTTCTGAGCCGGCTCGTGCGAGCAACCAACTTGGTTCCCAGCAATCATACTGTTTTTGGACGATAGGACCGAAACAATCTCACTTCCCTCTCGCTTGAAACCTTTGGTAAATGCTTTCGAATTCAATGTGGCCACGATTTATATCAAGCTAGTAACTGCCACAAGTAAAAGGGGAGTAGTTTGACAGATCTTAGGATGGGAATGAATCTGAGTGGACTCACTATGAGATGGTGTCAAACCAGTCGATAATCGATCTTCTTGGGGATTAGGATTTAAATACTTCTTTAGTTGGCGGGGTATGGTAGCCTCGGATGATCTGTTGAGAGGTTCAGACTCTCTTCGTGAACAGCACAGTACGATTTGGTGCACTGTCGTCCACGTCCCGAGGATGGAACTGACCAGAAAATTGACAAAGGACACAAAGCATTGTGAGAACAACATCGGAGCTCAAGAGTGCAAGAATCTGATCGGTACCTAAGCTAAAACCACATGTCCTGGGACCTGACCTGACCTGAATAAACAGTACACCTAAAACTACGGAGTTTTCCAGGCGATATACATGAACCGTACACAAATGTCCAGCATAACTGAGGTTTCGCCAGCAAGGACTGAATAGCCAAACAAGGGATGAGAGAGGAACATCAATAATTTGTTAAAAGCACTCGCGGTCCAGTCCCTGATTTGATGTACAGCCCTCACTGGACCGAGAAACAATCGATCGGAATTGGACACGGGCAACCTCGGTTAGTAGTTACGCCAACGACGTCCACGAACTACGTACAACCAATACAAAACGATCGGGGGAACCAAAATAGAATGATTGATATCACGAAACCTCGACGACGGTTGTATTGAGATAATCGGCAGAGCGAAGAGAGAAGAGTTCAGGTGAGTCAGCGTGCAGAAAGTGAATTCTAACGTGTGATACGCAACTCGGTGACCTTAGTCCGGTAAAACATCGCCCAAGTAAGAAAAAAGTGCCTGTGCAGGGAGGGTTAATCATGTTAAGGGGCGTTAGGGCGTGCGAGGGGCAGATAATATGATATAATAATACGTTAATATGATCACGTGATCAAACACGAACTAGCAGTAGATGCCAACACAGGGGAGGTAGTATGCAGGCAGACAAAGAATCGAACAAAGTGGCAAGTACATATTTGTGCACGACCTGGTCGAGTGAGGGAAGCTACCGTGAATCAAGGCTAGTGCTGAGATGAGCGAGATGCGATGCCCGTAACAGGCTAGCAAAGATGGGTTGCGTTGTAGATGAAAAATAAAAAGCAGTCTGACCAGATGCTCATGGCTGAATGTGTACGCTGCTAAATTATCCCTTTATTTTTCAGTCATGTCTCTCTCNNNCATCGGTCGGTATCAAGGGCTCCACATTCTCCCTCAGCGCCCCCTTCGACTGAACGTAGCAGCATTATATTTTTGGCTAGCGTTTCACACACTGTGACACATTGAGCCCGTATTGCCACCTCAGCTCTCGTGGGGCCCGTGCCGATCTGTCCCTTTCTATGGCGTATTGGACCCAGGATCTTTGACTGCCTTTTGCCCTAAAAGTATCCTAGCTCCTATTACTATAATGTCTCGCTTTTCTACTCACTGGGGGCCACCACAGCAGTTTGTTTTTTGTTACCTTGGGTTTCAAGCAAGTAAATTCCTTCTGTAGAAACAACATATTCGTATTTGTTTGACTCCAGTGGCATTCACCAAATTGGGTGTCATTCGAGTTCCGCCGCTCTAGCCTACTGTCCATTAATT